GCGTGAGGTATCGAAGTTACGAGAAATACAAACATCTAGAAAGTTATAACTGGTAATGTTGAAGATAAGTTACCAGTTGTGATACATAGGCGTGAAAAGAAGGATGATATTAAAATGTTTTATGGAACTAGAGAATGTAGGAAGGGTTCAACTACAGGCGTTTGTGAATGAGGTAACGAATCTTGTGCATCCATAAAGGCCAAATATTTCGTGTCCAGGTGACACAGTAATAAATATCAAGACGGGCCCCACTTATGGGGGTAGAATAAGTTCCCTTTGGCAGATTTTTATATACTGTGACCTGTTACGGAATGTGTGTGTGTGTGTGTGCGAGCAGGAGGATACAAAGGGATATCATCCGAGCTCAGTACCGAAAAGTACGACCCTACAGAAGACACGTGGACCGAGATCCCTGACATGAACATCTATTCATATGAACTCAAAGCAGAAGTGATCGACGACAAGATTTTTGCCATCGGTGGACCTTTGAACAAGTGCTCCGCATATTTCGATGCCAAGGAATTTCGATGGTTTGTTTCTTTGTTTGTTTGTTTCCTTGATTTTATAATCACAAACTGTTACTACCGAAAAGCACTAGGAAGTGAATCATTTCCGGTCAAAATAACCGCGATATTGTGGATGCTGCGCCGTGTAAAGTCGTAGGAACTGACCGACGTTTCAGAGGTTCTTACTGCTTACTCAGGGCCTTGAATACAACGCGCGAAAAGCGGTTGAGAGAAAGGGGGTAGAATGAAAGAAGGCAGGGCGATGTTGCGGTCAAGCTGAATCGTTAAAGCAGAGGACAAATGACTATGTAATGCTAATCAGACGTAAGCTGTAACTACATTAATGAGAAGCTCTTAGAGTAAGTTTCTTTGATCAGTGGTACTTTCTTAGGCAGGAAGTTTCTGGCGTTCAGCGCTTAGATTGTCCGGAAACAATTTATAAGCAACGACATTTCGGTGGAAGCTGTGCTCATAGCTTCTAGCAGTTTTCAAATCTACCCAAAGACAGAGACCCAAAAGTAAATATATATATATTTTTAAGAAAATGGATAGTTTTTTTACATAAATGCACCGACATTCAAATTAAGTTTCTGTTAAACTTATATTAAAAAAATTATTTATGGTAGAATACACATTCCTTCGAGAGTTATATCATCTCCTGTTGAGCTACATATTTTCTATAACTGTGTCAGTGAAATGTGATAAAATTGTCTTGAGTGTAGATAATACTGATGAACGATGAAGGAGGGTTTGTTTTCACTTTTAATATTTCAAATTGCAGGCACCAGGTGACAGACTTGAATGATTATAGATACTCTCTGTCGACTTGTGTCATCAAGAACCTACCGAATGCAAGCGATTACGAGTACAAACACAGAGAAAATCAGTAGTTTGCAGTTGTTTACAACCACGACGAACACATTAATTTTAATTACGTTAATTTCGAAAATTATGTAGAAAACTAGGAATTGTTGTAGGAGCTACAAAAAAAATAAAAGAGAAATATTGTTTGCAACAAACAAGGGAAATTATTTTTTCTCGTTATTTTCTGCACAAGAAGTCTTGTTGAAATTAGTTACTTTACAGACGTTTAATTTTAACATCCATCAACACATAGCAGTTTCACCTTGCGTCTTGTATTAAATAAATCCACTTATGGCGACATCTTTCGAGTTACGAAACCGTATTCATGGGATTAGGGGAAGAGTAAATATACTTGCTACATTAACATCGTTAAAAAAACGTCATTACGAAGGCAGCACACTGAGAATTTTGTATCGATTTCTGATCTACGTGTGATATTTTAAAGAAATTGCACTTGCAAATTTGGCCGAGTTTCCAGCCTCCTCTACAATGGCTACCGGGGTCCTTTCCCGGAGGTAAAGACGGCCGGGGAGTGATGCTGACCACTCACCCCCATCTAGTGCCGAGGTCAATGAAGAGATGAGCTATACCCCCACTCACCCCAAACGCCTACATGGCGTGTAGTGGGACAAACTTTACTTTACTTTACTTTACTTCCCCAATATACCGGGTAATTGTGCCATGTGCCTGGGGAAGTACCAACCTTTTCAAATTCCATGAAGAAACAGACTAAGCTTTCAATTAACAGATGTATTTATTTATTCACGGTATTTTCTACGGTACTTTTAAGTATTTTAATGAATAGGCACAAAATATTACTACAAAATACACAAAAATAGGACTTAAATTTAGTTAAGGTACCTACGGGTTAATAGAAAAATGTGACAATTCTAATCAAAGGGTGAACTGGAAGCATGTTTCCGAGATAAAATCAAATACAGAATCAGCTTAACAGATCATAAGGCGGGGCTGAAAGAAGACTTTGCGCCGTCTAACTGCCTGGTACCTGGGCAATACCGCACCAGAAAGTGCCATTAATCGAGACGTGGTTAACATAAAACATTATTTATTCCCGCGCGAGCCCATTGTGTTACAAGACTGCAGACTCAGAAGAACAGAGTTTCAAATTAAGGAACAAGAACACAAGGTACACTTTCCGTGCAATCTATTAACTTTAAAACATAGAAGAGAGAAATGAGATATTTCTTTGCCACAAGTAAACGACGACAACTCCAACAGCCATAACCCCTTCCCCCCCCCCCCCCCCAACTTTCTGTGTTGTTAGACATTGAGATTCTGATCGTTTACAACGGATATTAGAAGTAGTTTTAAGCATTTGTCTCACCGTTTCCCTTTGGTTGAATGTAAAAGTACACACTATATTCATAATACTTGAAAAAGAACAAAACAATGCGAAGCAGTTTTACATATACTTAAAGCGACTTAATATCGATTTTGGATTATCTGAACCCCAGTGTTCTTGGACAGAGACTTCAGAAGAAATTAAGGCCCTTAGAATGTTTGATAGAAGAATGATTAGAAAAATCTGTGGTCCCATAAATGAAGGAGAAAGCTGTGAAACGAAACTAATAAGGAGACAGAGGATGTATTATATTGTAACATTTATAAAATCTCTGAAAGATGGCGTTGACATAAAGGAAGAAGGAAGAGCGATAGACCAAGAAAGAGACGGAGAGATGAGACTGAAGAAGATATGAAAATCATGGGAATACGAAATTGGTATAAAGGGTCTATGGGCCATGGGGAATGCAGGGAAAAATCACCAAGTTAAGAAATCCTGGGTGCCTCACAATATGTCCCACCATCCTATCTCTTCTTCCGGTAAGATTTTTCCATTGACTTCTTCCTTTGCCTATCCTGGCTTCCTTCTCGCCGCGGTAAGCGGGTCGAAATGATATTTAGCTGAAGATGATTGTCTTCTTGCGCCATGTAGTGTGGTAGAAGTTTGCAGAAGTTTTGGAAGTCCTTGCTGTCTCCAACATCAGAGACCAGAATTACATTTGACTAGCAAACATCGACTTTGGCGTAGTTATTTATTTTCCTTTGGATTTTCAGTATTATGCGTACTTTTATCTGTTTATCTGTTAATTCATCATAATTAGCAGCACCAACTTACGTCTTTATTCATTATATTTAATAATGAACTACACGTTTCAACCCAAGACATGACACAGAAACGTTATTACATAACGTAGCCAAAGTTTTCTTTGGAGTCTTTTAACACAAAATACAAAATTTGACGTTACGTTCCTTAACATGCCAAACCCACGCATGAAACATCTCAAGGCTAAACAAATTATTGTTCTTTGAGTTTTAACTACAACTTATATCTGCAAAGCGAAAACTGATTCTGATATTGTTTAACGACGCCATTTGACTGCAAAAATTATATTGGATCTACTAATGTAGGAAAGCGATTGTATTGAAAAAGTCAGGTTATTGCATGAAGGAAGTGATGGCCTAATATTAATATACTATCTATACATTTTATCGTAGAGAGAACATTATAAACCTGTCAGGGTAACAGCTAACCATCGCAGTGCGTGGCAGCACGTTAAATCGAAGGCATACATGTTTTTATGAAGCCTCGATAATTTGTCCTGGGGCCCCAAACCGCCTTTGGTGGTGTCTAATCTGATTTATAAATCATTTATCACAACCATGCAGCATTATCACAGATGCGATCTGGCACCTTACACTACCGTCACTATAAGAGCGGAATTGTTTTCATAAACACATAATAAATCACATACAATCTCTTTATGCCATTGATTGTTTCGCTGCTAGACAATACTTAGCTACAACGAAAATTCATATTTGCTAAACATTCAGTTTATTAGTTACGATTTTCCGAATAAATTACATGCGTTATTATCTTGTCGATTGGACATGTGTCTGCGGTAAAACTTGGAAGCTTTAACACAATTTACGTTTTCAGCACAGATTCCGGTATTGACATGTCCGTGCACTCTTACATCAATAATCCGAACTAAATGGTACTACTAATGGTAGAGGTTTAAACTTTCAGCGTCAGATGTCAGGAGCAGCCGAGATGCTACGAGCAGAACAATACAATAGAACAATCAGGAAGTATAAACACCACTAGAAATGCGATTACGAACAGCCTTCCAATCCCGGCGCCCTTCTAATGTTCCAATTACAAAGCTTCAATATTTTTTTGCCCTCCGACACTTCTTTAAAGATATGGTATCACTTTCTGTAGTTGCCATCAGTCCCTCCAAACAAAATTTCAGGACAGAATCATAATTAAAATGGCGTCATAACGGCGCATGTGAGAACGATAGTGTAGCTCCTACTAGTTCTTAACCTCGGCACTAGATGGGGTGAGTGATCAGGTTCATACAAGGGCATCGCCTTACTCACGTGGTTCCCGCTAGGTGAGCCACCATGCCGATTTGGATGCGGAGGCTAAATGATAGATACTCTGGCCCTGCTCGGGATCGAACCCCGGTCGTCCACCCCGTATCATATCCGGAAACATACTTTTTTTCGAAAAATATATATGTGACTCGTTTCCATCGAAATATCGGTGTGCATTCGATCTGAGAATTTAATGAAAACGGATTTTAAAATTTACGTTACTTGTATCAAGATCCGAAGGAAGTTAATTTCAGACTATAGAGTAAGTAAACCAACAACTATTAACACTATAAAAAGACACTATTGACATACGCGTTTCGACCTCAAGAGGTCATCTTCAGTGGCATCAGGGAAATTAATACATATAGTCAAATGGTTCGAACTAGATTCAGAATTAAAAATGAAAAGGTATTTGACAAGATTTTTGAAGTGACACCGCACTAGATCTTGTTATTCACATGAGTAGAACATGCACTTAGCTATTGATCCCGTGTTCGTTGGCCGTAGCTAGTCTCGCCGAGCTGTAGTTGCGCCGTCTGTACCTGTGAACTTCAGAACCGTGAGTGAGAGACTGTCAGTTGGAAATGCATGGGCATACCTATATAAGCTTGAAATCAGGGTGGCCAACTACTGAATTTCTTTTACATTCTCCTGTTTAATGCTAGGTCAAATAATACGTTAGAATCTTTGGTGTTTTGTTCGTTGATGATGGCTTTTTGTTGACTATTTTTGTATATATGGAATTTTTCTAAGCTATCTAGCATTTTACCCTTTGGAGCTACTCATAATATGTCCATGATATCATCTATGGGGCCGTATTCATGTCCGTGTTCGAGGATGTGTTCTGCATATTTCGATTTTGTTAAATTGAATCTGATGTCGTGGACGTGTTCTTTAAATCTAATTTTAAATTCCCGACCGGTTTGGCCAATATAGACCTGCTCGCAGCTTCCGCATTTTAATTGGTACACACCACTATTATTGTATTTGTTATCTTGTTTTCTTGAACTGCATTTGAATTTTATGGTGTTGTTAACTTTGTATGCTACTTTTACGTTTGTGTTTTTGAATATCTTAGTAAGAGTTCTAATGCAATTATTAAAGAATGTAAAGCTCGACCATAATTTTTTAGTGGGTTGGGGTAATTTGACATTGGGATTGGGTGCTTTTATTAGGTTATACGATCTTGTGATTTCATTTAAGTTGTAACCGTTGTTGTATTTCTTGTATGAGTTTGGTTTCTTTATAAAATTCTTCTTTGGAGACTGGTATTTTGTGGAATCTGTTTAAAAGGAAATTGAATGCAGCTTGTGTGTGAGAATTGGGATGGTTAGATGTTTTGTGGATTACTATGTCTGAGCATGTGGGTTACCTGTACATGCCCAATTGGGATTCTTTCAGGTGTCTGTGAATGGCGAGGTCTAAAAAATTAATTTTATTATTATTTTCTGTTTCTAGATTGTATTTTAACTTTTAGTGCATGTTGTTATGGTCATCTATAATGTTTTCGGCTGTGTAGAAGGATTCGTCAAAAATAATTATAATATCATCAACGTATCTAGCGATATATTTTATATGTCGTTGTTTTATTATGTTTGGGTAAAACTTCTTTTCAATTTCTTGCAAAAAGATCTCAGACAAAATACTAGAAATAGCATTAGAACTCTCACTAAGATATTCAAAAACACAAACGTAAAAGTAGCATACAAAGTTAACAACACCATAAAATTCAAATGCAGTTCAAGAAAACAAGATA